CCACGCAACCCAAGGGTATGGTTTCACCAGGTTGAGGCCGTTTTTGCCACCCGACGCATCACTTCCCAAGTCACCCGGTTTTCCTATGTTGTCCAGCATCTTCCTTGTGATGTAGCAACAGAAGTTGAAGATCTGTTGGAAGATATTGCTAAGGAAAATCCGTATGACGCCCTTCGAGCGGCCTTAATAAGTAGGACAGGGAAATCAGAAAACAAAATGCTACGGGATCTATTCACCACTGTCGAACTTGGGTACAGATCACCCTCACAACTGCTTCACCACATGCGCCGTCTCCTCCATGACCGTAAGCTAGCAGAGGAGATCATGGCCCAACTATGGCTCGACAAACTCCCACCCTCCATGTGCCACGTCATCAGCGCTTTCGTTGATGACCACAGCTTGGAGCAGTTAACCCCAAATGGTGGATAAGATCCACGAAACTTACCCAGTAACCCCGTAAACTCCGCCTCCCGCCCTGCACCCACTACTTATAAAGATTGCGATCCGATTCTTGTTTCCATACCGCAGCTACAAGCCACGTTCAATACTTTGACCGTTCGCCTACAGCGGTTAGAGATAAACTAGCACTGACCACGTTCACGATCCAGATCGTTGTCTCGTGTCCGTCCCTCTTGGTGCTGATATCGCCAATCTTATGGCCCAAAAACACGCAAGTGTCGGCCACCTTGTTCCTTCAAGCCACGTTCCAACACCCCTTTAAACACCCCGGCCAGTCAGTAACGGCAACGATTGTCTGTGGCCCTCCTCGCACTGGTCGCCTATTCCACATCACGATCGTTCAGTTGACCTACGCTTCCTCGTAGGAGCTGAAGTTTGTGTGCTACCTTATAAGAGTCCACTTCCCGATTCTGCTTCTTTCTCCTCACAAGCCGCTAACGGTACCCGCATCGCTACATACGGCGAACGTTCCGTCACCCTTGACCCCAGATTGCGACGTGCGTTCAGGTGGATCTTCCTCTTGGCCAACGTCCAAACACCCATCACCGGTGCAGATTTCTTGACCCAACACAACTTGCCCGTCGACGTGCGACACAAACGCCTCTCGGACATGCTAACTTACCTCTCAGTCAACGGAATTAGTGCCCCAACTTCATCCACAAATACGCGAGTTATCCTACCGGATTCACATTTTGCTGACATACTTAGGGAATTTCCCAACCTTACTCATCCATGTCAGTATACCCAAATGGTCCCTCATTCCGTCGTTCACCACATCCAGACGAGCGGTCCACCTGTGAATGCTCGAACTCGGGATCATCCGCCCTTCATCGAGTCATTGGTCATCACCCCTACATATAGCACCTAAGAAATCTAAAGGTGATTGGAGACCTTGTGGAGATTACCGTTCTCTCAACAACGCTACAATCCTAGACAGGTATCCCATCCCACATATCCACGATTTCGCAATTACCTTATGCCACACAAACATCTCCAAACTCGATCTCGTACGAGCATACTACCACATACCCTTATCCCCGAATGACATTCCTAAAACGGCCATCAAAACGTCGTTTGGCCTTTTCGAATTCTCGCGTGTGCCTTTGGTCTTCGAAATGCAGCTCAAACGTTTCAACGTTTCATGGACAAAGTTTTACGTGCCTTACCGTTTGTGAGTGCCTATCTTGACGATGGTTTACTCGCTAGCACCTACACAACTGAGCATTCAGCTCATCTCAGGGCAGTATTTGAGCGCCTTTCCACTCAGAACGTACGTTCAAACATTGACAAATGCTTATTCGGTGTTAAAAGCCCAGATTTTCTTGGCCACCACATCGACTCCACAGGTATTTCACCATTGCCCGATGGCTTTTTGGCCCTAGGAACCTTTCCCATACGCACCACTCTTACCCAACTTCGTCATTTCGTAGGTATCATCAACCACTACCGGCGATTCTTCCCTCACTGTGCAGATATTTTGCAGCCACCGACCGATTTACTTGACTCCAACGAAAATTCTATTACTTTGCCTCCCGCGTCCATTACCGCTTTCGAAGGAGCCAAACAAGCCATTGCTCACGCCACAAAGTTATCTTTCCTCGATCCTCATGAAATCACAAAGTTGATTTCGACATCTGATGCTTCGAACGCCGCCGTCGGCGCCGTACTTCATCAAGTTGTTCACAACGCATCCTAACCACTAGCGTTTTTCTCGCAGAAGATGCAGGCTTCCCAAACGCGTTACAGTATTTTGGTCGTGAATTACTCGTAATTTACCTTGCTATTTGCCATTTCCGGCAATTGTTAAATGGAAGATCGTTCAACATTCAAACGGTCGCCTTGATGATATCAAAAGATTGGTGAAGAAGAACAGGATGTCGGA